AGCCGAATGCTTCCTAAGGTCGTACGGGTAACGGGTAATCCCACCATCGATGTTAACTTTGTTATCCAAAGGAGGCCCCGCCAGGGCAGCCAGCACGAAGACAAACTCGTCCACTTTGTCGTCAGAGTTGGCTACGAAGTAACAGTAGTTGGACACCTCTGCCCCGCACGTGGAATACTGGCAGATTACCTCGCAGCCTTGGTTGATCCCTTTTTGCTCCCATGCCTGAGCAGTATACTGGTCGGGACAGCGGTACAAGGTGAGGGTCGTGGTGGCACTGCACGCGTGGAGTTTCATCCAGGCTACGGCGCTCGGGCCGCGGTGCAGGTGGAAAGCGAAAGGAGGTGAGACGCCGTTGGAACCCACTGTCGTCGTCTGTTTAACCGCCTGCCTGTCGGAGACCCCACTGGGTACGGGGGCAGAGGGTAGCGCGTATGCGCTGAACATGGCCCCCTCTGCGCTTCCCTCAGCTACCGTCACATTCAGCTCTTGGCAGTAGTAGCGGGAGAAGGATTCAGCATAGAGAGTCCCGCTCAGCAATGGCTTCTGATCGCCCGAACCAAGCAGGAAAGAGTGTCCGTCCAAGTCTTGAAATCGCATCAACACTGCCACGACGATTGATGATATCGACACTGCCACGGCGAAGGCAATCCAAGTGAAGACGATGCACCTCTTGAAGTTTGCCATGTTCGTTATTTTCAAGTCTGCACAAGGAACAAGTCGACAAAGAAAATTGGTGCAGTAACAACGCAGAACTCAAAATCAAATCCAGCCGTGCCAAAGAGATGTCTACTTAACTTCCACAGTCACAATTGAATAGTTTCTCAATGCTTCAGGCAGATAAACCTTAACCTTTCTTCCTTGCATGAACAGAATAAAAACCTCGTCAGTCAAAAAAGCTCCACGAGTGCATTGTGCCAATCAGCCCCGTTTATATAACCCGTCGACCAACTCAAAAACAGAAGCTTAGTCAAAACACACTGCAGTTTCCCGCACCTATGACCGTGGTTAGTGACGTATCTCTTTGTTCAGTACGGGAAATGATCAATTCCAGTCGAGAATCATCGCGGGATTTTCGGATCCTTGAAATTATTACGCGTAAACAAACCGGTTACAGCTTTTGAGTCACAAAGAAAATGGATACTCGACTGCGTGTGTGTCACAATTCTACCTCCATCATGGTCACAGCATCGTAGATTCTCCCTTTACACACTGACAACGCTACAAAGCTTTGGTCGTTTGTTGTTCTTGCCGCCCAGCACTGGTCAAATGATAATTCATACAGCGTACAAACATCTTCATTGTTGCCCCAATTGTAAGGGTCATGGTCAAAGACGATCGAAGTACCATGATAATAACGCAGATAATAATGCAGCTGATACTCCGGCCTTGTGAACGCAACGGCCGCATTTGTAATGCATACATTATCTTGCTGTGCAGTAATGTGGATCACTATACCGTGGGATCAGACCAACATGACCGGGATCATGACATCACGTGTGACTGAATGGTATGAAAAACGAGGGTGAAAAGTCAGTTTTGTTTACATCAATACATGAACATTCAGCCCCTTTTATTCGATTCGCTTTCAAATGGCTTGCCTACCTAAGCTTCGATACAGTTGGAAAATACAATTTTATAAATATCAGAGATATTTTCCTTAGTTTTCAACAACATACATGTATGCATTAGTGTAATTTTGATCCTTCTAAAATAACAGAACATACTGATTTGATCCGTCAATACAAATTAGTCCTGACCCACCTGGGGAGGGGCGGGTAGCAGAAGCGGATCTTAAGGGGGGGAGGTTGCACCGCCCCGATCGTCCACTGACTGATAATGTTATGATACTAGTAAGTGGGGCCAAAAATAATAAGTGGAATGCTTAAAGTTCGTAAATTTATTCTTGACTTGCCTTAGAATATACACAACGAGGTGAAATCATCCTACACAATTTACACTATATGCTCCCAAACACTGAGTAAGACACACTCCTGGAAAGTACATTTGTATGTAATTTAAAGATGCTTTTTGGAGAGGAACAACTCATTATGTTTCATAGTTTTGGAATTTTGAATTTGGGCTCAGTATTATAACTAACACCGAGCTTGCGATACGGCTAGCCAAGCTAGCCAGATTATCTATCAGGCCATACCGTCCAAACCCGGAAACATGATACTAATCTATGTCGTATGTGTATATCCTCCCACCGCGTAGTCACATTATTATTGCATGTGATTATGACCTAAATCTCGAAAGGGCATTTCCTTGAACTGTAGGCTATATTAAAGTGATGATTCAAACGTTCTTTGTGTATTGGAAAGGACAGTGATTTATAACAGTATGTCGCTGATGTCATCGGGACAATGACAAGAGATGCCCCTCAATGCGCGGTGGGTTCATTTGAATTCAAAGAACAGGACCTTGAGGGCGCCATACACAATGATTTCAAGAAGTTTGATTCTTTTCTCGTGAAAAAATGGTTTGCTTAAAACAAAAGCTGTTGATTGCAGACACTGGTGTGACATCAGTCCGAGCAGTTTATTGCTAAAGGGAATCTTCAGAGATTTTGTTCTTATTTTTCGAAAGCCGGCAAAGAAATTGTACCATTCAATTAAAAAAAAAAAAAAAGTTTCCAAAAGACGATTGTTTAAGTGAAGTTGCTTATTAAATCCTCAGCTAAAGTTTATACAGGTTTTGGGAGCAGTACGTTAGGTTGAGGGTATATACATCGGAAGAAAATGTCGGGAAAAATCCGTTCTCATCTAAATTCAACCGAAAAGCAGTCGCAGTAATTTACATTCTGTATTTTGACCAACGATGGTAACAACGATTTTTCCTAAGCATAATTCAATTTCCCAAGCTTATTATATTAGAAAACTACAGCACAACGAAGCTGTGTAAAAGTTTTCCCCTGCGACAAGATTGAATTTCAGTGGTATTTGTCATCACTAACAATCAACAGTTACTGACCGCACAAGATTGATCGTGCCAGTGAGTTCACGGCGTACAAACTTCAAACGTGCCAACAATTGGTCCATACCTGGGGTAGACTTGAAAAGAATAATTTTTAGTTGCACAATCTGGGCTATAGATCTTTATTTTGTTTGTTAATACTGAGCGCCGTTTTGTATGGGCTGCCACAAGGGTATAAAATATGCCGTTGTTGGCACTTTATTTGACCAAAACTTCTCGGGATAACCAAAATGGACCATCTTTATGGTCCCTTTTGTTAGCGGTCTCATCTTACCCAAATCATGGGACGTCCACCTTCCTCTTTTATAGTGGGCCTACCTGACCCAAACCAATGCTGATTTTGCCATAAATTGCATATTAACACCCTCATCGTCAAGAAAGAGGCTTTGGTATAGCGATGCGGCTTTTGATGTTTATTTTCAACAACCCAATGATATGTTTCAAATATATTCTTATTTTTTGCAACATCGACCTTGAGTCCCCTTTGCCAACCCGCGGGTGGCAGAAAGTGCCAACCGCGGGTTTGCGTTCGAGTAGCTCATCCGGATCGACTCGGGTAAAGGCAGGCGGGTTCCAGCCACGACAGCCGGGGGCCGCCAATGCAACCCTCACGTGACGCCTGACAAAACACCCGTTTCGGATTGGATCTTAGTTTGAGGTTGAATGCTTTTCAGTCAATTGCAAACTCAACAAAGTTGGGCTGGACTTCTTACCTCAAAAGTCGCAATGAACTCAATAAATTATTACCCTTCAGACTTCAAAAGTTATATAATGTTTAAGTCCACTTGTCTGTACGGCCGCATGTCCGTTTCTTGGAATGAACAACGCATGCGTATGACGTATTTCCACCACTAACTCTACTCACGAACAGGGTATATGTGGTGGCTGACCTGGGTGAGCCCCGAGTATGACTTAAGAGCTAATCGAACGGCACGGGGCTGTCCCGTGTCTACCCTAAACGAGCGCACCCAAAGAAAGATCTGTTCGGGGTCACACTAGAGTATAGGCCTAACAAGGGTTTGTGCAGAAAGGTCGCCTGCATCGTTACTGGCCTAGAAAGTTACACTGAAAACATTTTATAAAATAAATATATATATATCACCGCTTAATTCTGGCATGGTGTGGACTTGCAAAGAGGGTCCGAATTAATAAAAGGCCGATCAAAATTTGAAATGATTGGCAGGTTTTTTTTTTCTTTTTTTTTTCAGAACTTGAGCACAGTCATATTAGAAAATAAGAGAACATGCACGTAGCATGAATTCCCTACTTAGCGGAATTCACTGACATACGATTGTTTTTGTTAGTCTTTCAGTCTACCCCGTATTCCCAAGCATGGGCGTCGCGAGGGGGGGGGGGCAAGGGGGGCACTTGCCCCCCCCCGGAAAAGCAAAAAAAAAAAAAAAAGGAAGAAAAAAAAGAAAAAAAAAAAAAAAGGAAAAGAGGCGCGAAGACAAAGTGGTGTAAATTTAATGAGTTGGGGGGGGGGGGCAAAATGTCCCTGCCCCCCTCTAAAACTGATAAATCGAGAATGTGTTGAGAAATACAAGCATTTTTTGGCAAAAAAAAATTTTTGCCCCCCTCTAGAAAAAATCCTGGCGACGCCATGTTCCCAAGTAAGATGGGGAGGATCTATCACCCGGACTACTCAAGTTGACCAGGGCGTCTGCAGCAGTGCATCATCCAAAAATGCTGGACCCCACAAGTTTGTTGGCAGTATTTGTGTAAAAATTAATGGTGCGGGGTGGTTTAATGAAAACAAGGGAAACGTCCAAGTCACTCATAAGTTATTTTAAAATTTAAAATTAACAGTTAGTACCTCTATCCGTGAACGTAAAGCGCGTAAATATATATTTATATGTACACAAGTAGGTCCAAGATTCTGCATGAATAGCGCCACCTATAGTGTTAAATGATATCCCCATTTCTGGAATAGTTTCAGGATCATTTTTCCAGCGTCAACACCCATGCGTCGATATAAAAATACGCCAATTTGACGAAACACGACAACGAGCGCAGACACTCACCAGGTTGACGGCTTCTTTGGTGGGGAGATAAGCGCCGAATCCCCGTATGGATCTCCGGTATCGGTGGGTCAGTCTGCCACCCGATCGACGCATGATCACGTGGTCCTCTAGCTGTTGGGCCACCACATCCACGTCGCAATTATCCTACAAAAATAAAGGTTAAAATCGAGTGTATAATATTTGTGGGGGAAAAACATGCCAAATGCGGCAAATAAACAGATATGAGGACGGACAAAAATTACCCCCCCCCCCAAAAAAAAGTGCCCAGCCCATCCGCTTCACCTTAAAAACCCATTATTTCAGATTTAAGGCATAATGCTGTTTTCTACAGCGACGATAAAAAGATGACCTACATGGATTCCTGTTATGAAGCTGACCAAAAAACAATCGACTCATGACTTTGAAATTTAATTACAATGTCTGCAATCAAGGGCATATATATTTAACAAAAAAATCGCAGATTCAAACAAACATCTACTGGAACACCCGTCTTACACACTCGATTGGGTGTTTTTTCGGGTCCGAGTTTCGATTGAACATGAACGTGCGACCGAAAGACAAATTAGGGGATTGACAAATATAACATTCGGTTTCTTGCAAAATAAGAACAAAATACTACAAGACAGAGCGAATTGCTTCTTTCCACTTAAATCTTCTAACCAATATACACAAATTAGTACTGAAAAGTAGAAAACATGATGACAGGAAGATATCACGACAGACTCCAAACAAACAAACAACGGACACAAACAAATCAACAACAACAAACATGGCTATAGCTATACAGACAACCAACCCAGCTTTACCTTGAGTTTGACGATGTAACTATCAGGGACCTTCTCTGCAGTCTTGTGAAGTGGTGCAATTCCCTCAACGAGCAGAATTCCCGCCCAAATTAGAAAAGCAGACGAAACTGTTAACACAGCCATTACTAAACGCATCCACGGCAAATCAAAGTTTCGTGACAAACAAATTTACGCCGAACCTTCAGGTATCATCGATTCAATTTGTAGTACTTCTTTGATTTGTGGAATTATTGCACATAAACTTTGGTATCTACAGTCTAATTTACTGCTATTTCACAGCGTTTTACAGAGACCAACATTTTCAAAAGCCACGACGGAAATAAATGCCGCAGTCAAAAGAAAAACTGCAGTCGATAAATCAGTGCAGCTGGATTATTCAATATCGACCCGGATTTTGTAAATAAGTTCTTGTTATTTTTTTAGCAGAATTGATCCAATGCAAAGTTTGCTGCGGTGAAGTGAGGCCGTTGAGAATTCACGGAACAGAAACGTCATTTCAAGAACAGCTGTTCTAATATAGAATCACCTGTTGATAAAGAAAAGAGGAAAAAATACTTTTAGCAGAATTATATTTCCACGGCATTTCAATATTGTTTGCAAACTGATCGTCCGCTTACTGATCGTCCGCTTTATTTTCCCATCATTTATTCCAAAGTATTGCTTGAAGAAGAAATTAAGAAACGCGTGTGATTTCCAATGATTGTTGGAAATAAAGAGTTACGTATTGACGAAATAATGTGGGTTTTTTTCATTTTTTTCTTAAAAGTGTAATATCCTCTGAGCAGAAACTGCATCAGGTTAGGTTTGGATTTTGAGTGGTGTAATATTAGAAGCAACAAAATGTGTGAAAAGAAAATGATCCTACACGCCTCTAATGTTTCACCATCATTTGGGCTGTATGCCCTCCAGTAGTACTGTCTGTGTCTCACATAGTGTTTTTGTTCCATGTTTCAAAAGGTAATAATTATTTGGACAAATTTAAAACTAGTATAAGTGTCAGCTAAATGAAATGCACTCTTTACCTTGCCCATTTTGGAAATCAAATCTTAACTTTCGGCTTCGAAAATCAATTTTCAAGGTATGATGCACAAAATTTAGTTTTGCCTATATTATTATTATTAGATTCATTCCATAAATTATTACGCAAGTACAATATGATGACGTCAAGAGCAGAGTGGAATATTTAACTTTAATCTCTATTCGAGCCATGCAGCTGTGGCTTTGAGCACATTAACATTGCATGCAATATTTATTATGTTAATGCATTTCACATTGATTCGGTTGACGATGCATAAATACCCCGTGCTTTTCAAAATATGGATCTGTTTTCTCTGACGATTTTTAAGTTTTAAGTTTTGTTTTAACGTAAAAAAACATCTTTTTTTACGTCTGCAACTCTCTGAAAATGCGCACAAAATGAATCAGAGACCTGAATTATTGTCTGGCAGCGAATAATTCAAATTGTGGGAAGAAATACTTCAATAACTAAACGTTGGTGGATTTTTTCGTTCGATGTCTCATTCAAAACTGAATATCCTTTATACTGCTAGGAAAAAAAACCAATTGAAAACAAAAACTATTTTTCGACATTAAAGTCTAAAATAGTAAGGGAACACATCTTTAATAACCTATTTACCATTGATTTTCACCAACAGAGGGCGTGCTGTACCAGATAACGGGTGCGTTCGTTCAGCTCATCCGGGTCGACATGGGTACCGGGTTAAACGACAGCCGGGCTAATCGAACTCTCAACCGCGGGCCATTACGATCCCCACGTGATGCCCTTAGCTGTGGCCGTAGCCACTGACAAAACGCCCGTTGCGGATTGGGTCTTAATTTGAGATTTACTGCTTTTTAGTCTTGGTTTAACTTTTGACCAGCGTGCTCTGCCGGCGACACTTACTTTTTTCTACAACCAAGTATATAGTCACTGACCATTATGCGCATGCGACAGTTGTTAAGGTATGGTTCTCGGATTTTACTCCCCTTTAAAAAATCCTCAAGTGCCATTAGTGCGAAAAAGGTGACATCTTTTTCATTGATTTAATTGATCAAACACTATTAAAGAAAACAAATCACTATGAAGCAAAAAATGCAAAACAAGTATGACCTTACCAAGATTCAATTTCAAACCCACGTTATTCACTCAATCCGAAACGGCCATAATCGAAATCCACCACGCCACATCAGCGCTTCGATTGTCCATTAAAATCTAAACCATAATGATATAGCCAGGGTGCGTTCAATTAGCTTACACTTGTGATGAAACTTACACGAGAGCGTTCGATAATAGCCATCACGTGATCCAACCACCACTGCCCCAGCTCGTAGGTCTCTGGTGGCTGGCTGGGCGCAATAATGACGTAATCGGACGATCTTGCAGCTGGTGAGATTCAAGATGGCGGGAACTTGAATACGAATTGGGTACAATGGTGATATTTATGACACAAATATTGCCAATTATTAACGGTGTTTAATTGGCTATACATATTTTTAAGCTCTGGTACGAAATTCTACATGTCACTTGGTGGTCAGTCGGTTTGTCTGTCACGTAAATTGACCAAAGTATGATGTCCCACAATAATAATGTGCCATCGGCGTCGAATGTTTTTTGGCGTCGCATTTTTAAGCTCTGGCAGGGATGATCGATTTCATGCAAGACCTTAATGCAAGACTTCTTGCAACGTCACTAGCCAGAGCTTATTGTGCACTCGCACTTGTTGATAATTCAGAGTAAATTTTTCGAATTTCAGCAATTGATCTGGTTACAATGAGACAACAAAAATTTACCAGAAGAGCAGATCGATGACAGTATGCCATTTTAAAGTTCCGCCTCGCAACAACGTTTGACCTTAATTTTGCAAGGCAAATACACCGCAGGGTTCGCATTACATTGCACGTGGAAGCTAATCGAAAGCACCCTATATATCACTCGACTAGTTGTCTCACATCACACGATTAAAATACCAATCGCGTGTTACGGTAAATTAATGACTTTGGGTGGGTGCATAACAAAATTGGTTAACTGCGCGGGTGGCAATGGATCATGCGCTTTGATCGTGGCAGTATAATTTGACGCAATACTGTGTGCTTACCACATTTCGTGAAAATCTCATCAGCGCCCTTTGAGAAGACAGTGATGGGCGAATGGCAGAGGCACATTCACATGGGCGAATGACAGAGGCATATTTTTTTGTGAAGTGAATTTTTAAGTGAATTTTCACCTTGTGAATAGTTGAATTTTTATTTACACCGTTATAGAGACTTACCTGGCAAACTTTCCTCGGGTTGAACACATCCACAATATGAAGAGTCATGATAAGAAACATTAAAAAAGAAATAGCATGTCCATGTGCTCTGTTTCTGTCTCTCGAATACGATCACGCCGAAATTCCTTTGACATTCCAGCTGCGCTTTCCTCAATACGATCCAGTCATCATAATGATCCTCAGACACAAAAAAAACAGGTTTTCACATAGATTGTACGTGAAAGGTTCTCCCTAGACATAACAAACCCTTCCGTTAACGCGACAATTCAAAGTTGAAGACTGTCCAAAAAGTTCGCCTGGGAAAACAGACTTTAACCTTAGGGTACAAAGACTTGATATAATTAACGTTATCAGCTCAGCCGTCGTACGACTGCTCTTCAACAATTTACAGAATATTGTTCTATTTGACGCAGTGTCAGAATTACTGATGAATTTAAAATTGGTTCTCAGATGCCCACTCCGCGAGACTAACCCCCTTCCCCTACTACTTGCCCCGCCCAAGTTATTGGCTCCCGCGGGGGAAACAACGCAGTTTCTTCCCCACATATCGCAGGTTCAGCTTCAGTATCTGTCTGAACTCGGGCTGTAGGATCGTCAGAATAAAAGTTCCAAATGCCGCCTGGCCCACTGCGACCGTCGAAAAGGCCAAGAATACAACATTGAGTGACACCATGGACAGGGCACCAAAGAAGCTCATAACGTATAATATAACGGCCAGGGGGACCCAGGCCAGCACAAATGTAAACAGAAAGATGGAGAATTGTTTGGTGCTCTTGCGATGGTTGACCTCAACCTGAGCGTTTTGGGGATCACCAGGATTCAACTGCCGGGGAGGGACCGGTAGATCTGCCGCTATGGCCCGTGCCTGGCGCCTCGCAATACGCACGATCAAGCAGTTAAATACCATGATGATGACTATGCTAGGTAAAATAAACACATAAAAGTAGACCAAAGTCCCCGAAACCAAAGAGGTATAGGCGGCGTCTGAATTCTCCAACGAAATGTTGGACAAGAAGGTTTGACCGACCGCGCCAAGGAGAGTGCCTACCGTGGCCAACCCCCAAACCACGGCCAGGCAGACGGCACACTTGGCCCGCGTCATCATCCGGACGTAAACAAAAGGATGGGAGATTTTGAACCACTTGTCGGCCGCTATGAGAACTGCATTCAAGAAATATCCCACGAAACAGAAAGATACTACCCAGACCGAGAAGAAGTAGGAAATCTGGCTGAAAGTTTGTAAGTTTACGAAAACGATTATGCTGGGTTGGCCCAAAACTCCGGTGAAAATCTCAGCCACGGAAAGGCTTGCCAGGAAGGAGTTGGAGACGGTGCGGAGGTGTGAATTGCGAGCCACGGTCACAATCACCCAGAGGTAGCCCACAAGCATAGACAACCCAATAATGATGAAGAGAGTTACAAGTATGGCAAGCTGTAATGGGTTGTAAGGAGGCTCCTGATCCTCCAGCTGTGTGGAATTGGTCGGCGACGCCATATTTTTTCCCTTCGAAACACGATGATGAAATTAGCTTTGATATCAAGGGTATGTAATACAGTAGGCCGGCCAGCACACCAAACTGTTAAGTTCGAGTCCATCAAAACAACAGCACAGCATGCTCAATAGCAAACTAATGGGGGTTTAGAATCTGCTGAACACACTTGGTACCACTGCTCACACAGCAGACAAACAGCTAAACGCGCAACCACAACCAACCACGGTAGCGTTTTAATAACAAACACGCTTCTCATCATCAATTTGAGACCCGGATCTGGCTGTCCCCCTTGAAAGGGCAAACAAGGCAGTTTATAACGTCCACATCCGACTGATTTAAGTATAATGGTCAATTCCCAGAGCTGCACGGGGCTTTCAAGCGCCTGGGTAAACAGCTACAGGATTAGGAAAAAAAGACAAAATTACAAATTGACAAACGACAATGACATATATCTCGTCAGAGATGAGCAAACATTGGAGGGAAGTTAACAAGGCAAGGCAATTGGGAATAGTAAACCAATATTAAGGGTTACAAGGCAATGAATTAAGATGTGACAATCAAGAGAGAAACTGATATGAGAGTTTAATTAGAGGGCTGAGGAGACTGGACACTCTCGTACACTAGGTGGCGCTATTAATGGTACGACCGCATGGATAAATGCATATAGGGGTGCAACAGTGCAAAAAAATTCCCATAGCCACTAGTGCTAAATGCCCATACTTCAAAATTCTTTTTAAAATACTCAGAACTCTCACAGGTATTTAAGCTGCACAGAAAAATTATGATCGACATGTCATCTTTCAATTTCTTTTCATTTTTTGGTGGGTTGACTATTGACTTTTCGAGAAATTCTCGCCCAAAGAAGACGACCCCTATTTTCCCCAAAGCGGAACGGTAGTCATCTTGAAAAAACGATCCCTCCACAACATGGCAAAATAGCGCCACTTTCGAGCCCAATTGTAACCAAAATGCTCAGAATTGGAAGCCCCGAGTCCGGGCCAGAGGTTCATTGCCATATCTCTTCAATTCCCCAATGTTATGGCTCTCAGAACTCTCTAATATAGAATATTTTGAGGGTATAACTTTTATTTATGCGCTCGGCGGATGGGTTTAGGCCTATTTACAGGTGTGCACCCATAGACGAATCTGGACGCGTGATCAGCACACATTCGTACTTCCCCTTCAATGGGAAATCATTTTCCACGCCGTTGTACGAAACATCTTCCCCGTGACAATTATCTGAACATTAGCTAGCACAATACTTTCGCCATTGAAGGGGGCCTTCGTGAATCGTGATAGAAATGATAGCCTGCCTTTGCGTTCCTTCCCTGTAGCTTTCTGCCCTTTTTTTCTCACCCTCCTTTTGCCAACAGCTAAACTGTTTTCCGGAAACGAAGGAGGGAGTGGTGGGAGGCAGGGCTGTCTCGTCCGAAGGCTCCCTTTGTAGCAGGGTTGTAAGACTCGAATCTAGGACTCGGACTCGAGTCGGACCCGTGTCACATTTTTCGTGACTCGGACTCCAGTCGAGTCACTTTGGAAAATGACTCAGACTCGATCATAATGACTCGGACTCGAGCTTGATGACTCGTAACTCGAGTCACGTATTTTCATCAAAAGAAAACCATAACGTTACGTATTTGTGCGACGAACGTAGCATGCTTTTTTACTCCATGGACAAAACACGGCGCCGTGGACAATCGTATTATGTTTGAATAATGTTTGGATGATAAAACATGGAGGGAAGGGATGGAGGAGGATTTTTTTTAGGGATGGGAATTAAAAGAAAACACTTGTTGGGTCTAAACAACATTTACACTGCACACAAGGTAAACTCTAACACTGGGATTTACTTAAAAGACAGAATGGATGATTGAAAAATAATTTTTAAAAAACAACAAAAGTATTAGTTTTGTGAACAACTAAGAACAAGTGACTCGGGAATTGGACTCGAGGTTTGTGACTCGACTCGAGATTCGGACTCGGACTCGGACTCAAGGCTTGTGACTCAAGACTCGGACTCGGACTCGACGTTGGTGACTCGACTATACAACACTGCTTTTTAGTGATGCCCGCATCATATATGATATAATTTTTTTCGAACATTTGTGAGATTTAGAGAAAATTAGGCAGGCATTTCGTTAAAAAAAATCTTTCCTTTCAACAATATTCCTCGAATGTTCCTGAAATAAAAAATATAATAATAATCTAAAGTTCTAGCGATCTCTGAGCACCCTCCGATAACTTTCAATCTAAACTCGCCGCCTGCTTCTCTGACCCGAATATTTTCTCAAACAACAAGATCATGTAATTAGGTCCGTCATGCGATATACCAGCTATAATACAGGAGCCAACGTCACAGGGGCAATTAAACGCACGGCAACCGCAATTACAGAGCCAGTATATTTACTGCGGGAAAAAAAACGACCAGCCATATTACTCGTCAGCATGACTGACACTGATTTCCGGAATCCTTGTTAGTTTTTCATCCGGAAAAAAAGACAGCACGGCGCCGGAGGAGGGATCCATGGCAACTACCAAACTGTCCACACGATAAATTATCGGAGGGGTTACCATGGCAACTGACGCAAACACTAGTACTCGCGCCCCGAAGTCATTCATTTGATGGTTTTTTTCTGTAAACAAATCCGGGCACGTGATACACTCACGAGGGGGCGGATATATTCCCCAATTTTTCACCCCAGAGATTTTCGTGGTGTCCAACACCCGCCACCCTCCCCGTCCCCCCCCCCCCATCCCCCACTCGCCGGCAGGGATTTACGCCACTGCGAGGCCCCCTTTAATGGAGGAAATAAAGCAATAGAGAAAAGCAATAAACAAAGCAACTGCTCCCTGGTTACATGAACAATAGCTAGCACAATGATTTCGACATTTTGCCCCCCCCCCCAAAAAAAATCCTCGATTTATAGCGCCACAATTGTATTACCACAGCAGGGGTGGATCCAGGATTTTTTGCGGGGGGGGGGGCGTCAGATTTGTTATGTCCCAGTGCCGTAACAATGTCATTTTTATTGGGGGTGAAAAGTTCGTGAAAATGGCACTCGCAATCAGTGCTAAAATGTTGTAGACGGGTTAAAATGTAGACCAGGGGAGGGCTGGTAACATTTTCCAATGTGCGGGGGGGGGGGGGACTAAATCTGACGATCTTGCACACAATCGGACAATACTGTGAAAATACCCCCTTCGCCTCTGTGTCCGATTGTTGCGGACACTCGGACAGAGGTAACTATTAATAATACCATCGTCATAATTTCTTTTTGTGTCACAGCAGGAGGGGGAAGGTTTTACCTCCACACCCCACCCCCGGATTCGCGCCTGTAAACGATCTGCTTTTGGCAGAACCGATGAAGGAAAAAACCCGACTTTTCACTGTACAATTAAATTTACATTACTGGTAAGCTTGACATCATTGAGGAAAAAACTGCAAATTGATAGCTTCAAAACAGAGCTCCACCTGGCACAAGAAAACCCTATTAGGCACTGATGCTTTTCTACTTTGATTTGACAATAATGAATTCAGTGGCTAATGGTGAAATTAAAGGCTGATGGATGGCACGAATTGAAAAGACTAATAATATAAAAAGACATGCTAATGCCAGGACGATGACCAGGTAAACACTGCAGAATTCACATTAATGCATGGACTTAATTAGCCTTTCCATGTTTGACAGGACATATATTTCCTTGGTGAAATACACTTGAACGTGTCCATGACATGAATTTTACACTTGAACATTTTTTTTCCAAATATACATTCCTCTGAAATGTATAACAAATACAGGGTGGATAAAAAAAAGAAATAGAGATATTATTGCTAATTGGAACAGAAGTAGGGCACATGTGAATCAAAGGCCAAAAAATTTTTTTTTCGGTTTCTGGTATGCGCGCGCGTCGCCGTAGCTATGCGCGTCGGCAAAATGAAAAAGTTGGGTTTTTTTCCAATAAAAGATGATGTCTCAAAACCGCCAAACTCACTGGTTTGACTGGAATCCTGCTGCTGCACAATTTTAACGTGTTTTTAGATGGGGTTATGATCGAGAATAAGCTTTATGTGGCCTCTCCGGACTCCCATATATTTGCACTAAGTTTAGTCGGGCACCATTTGCAGTCATCAGCCGACATTTGAAGCAAAAAAGACAGGTAAAAAAAAAAAAAGCCGCGTCGCCGCACCACTTTTTGGGCAAGCTCCATACCAGAAACCGGAGACTTTTTTTTTTTGGCCAAAGGGAGAAAGCCTCTGTTAGAGTTTAAAATGACACCCAGATCATGTCATTACATTCACGGCCGACTGAGCAGTGACCAATTTTATGAAAGGGTCTATGAGGATTGCGCCACTTTTCAATTGTGGTTTTTGTGGTGTCATTTGTCACAGAGCGAAAGGCTATTGTTGCCAATCAAGGCAGGTGGGGGAGAGACTTCACCATGAAAAGTGGCGCATTTCTCTAAGTAGACCCTTTCATAAAACTGCTTACTGCTCAGTCAACAGGGAATGTAAGGACACGATCAGGGTGTCATCTTAACGAGGAGATTCAACCCTAAGGCAAAAAAAAAGTCTGCGGTTTCTGGTATGGAGCTTGTCCAAACAGTGGTGCGGCGGCGCGGCTTTTTTTTTTTTTACCTGACTTTTTTGCTTCAAATGTCGGCTGATGACTGCAAATGGTGCCCGACTAAACTTAGTGTAAATATTATGGGAGTCCAGAGAGGCCACATAAAGCTTATTCTCGATCATAACCCCATCTAAAAACACGTTGAAATTGCGCAGCAGCAGAATTCCAGTCAAACCAGTGAGTTTGGCGGTTTTGAGACATCATCTTCCATTGAAAAAAAAACTTTTTCATTTTGCCGACGCGCATGGCAACGGCGACGCGCACGCATACCAGAAACCGGAGACTTTTTTTTTTTGGCCTAACAGAGGAGATCTCCCTTTGATTCACATGTGCCCTACTTCTGTTCCAATTAACAATAATATTTTGGTTTGAATTCGTTGTTTTTTTTATCCACCCTGTATATGAGATATTCCTTTTTGTTCCAATGTTTGCAAAGTGTAGTATATTTTAATCATTTAGATTAGGTTTTCAAAGTTAAACTTGATAACATAACTCTGGAGATTTTTTCGACACCTCAAAACGCCACCTTTACTATCAAGCATCAAAAATGTATAAATAAGACAAAATTACATCCTTCCTAGTGGATCTATGGGAAAATTAAA